ACCCCTAGAATAGTGAGAAACACTAGTTAATACTTGTTAAAATTCTTCCTATTTGCCATAACATAGTTTTAAATGTCCTACATGCATTATCTCACTTCTTATAACAAAACTTTAAGGTAAGAGATATTATCTCTATGACAGGATTCAAATTCGTTATCTGTAAAGTCCATTGCTGTAACTACTCACCATATTGCCTACTCTCAATATGGAGAGCCAACTTGAAGAATAGTATGTATAATCTCATTTTTGTAAAAATAGTTATTTTCTTTATAATGTGTATACATATAGAAAAGTCTGGAGACTATATGCCAAACTCTAGCAGTGGAATTATAGGAAACTTCATGTTTTATATATTTCTATTTTAGTTTTTTTATTATTTTATACTAGACAAATAAAATTGAATTTTCAAAATTGGGAACCAATTGTAAGTACATTTTTAATCCTGATAAACTCAGTTTTTAAACATAAATTTTTAAACAAAACCTTCTTCCCTTTAGTGACTTTTGGGATGGTAAACCCACATATGTATTATTTAAACAAAGTTATGTCATCTCTGTTTTTGGACACTTCTGCACCTGGTGATGAAAGATCCAACTTTAAGTCTATTCGAAGCATAACTGATTTTTGGAAGGTAAGGTATCATGTGACTATGTATAAAGTTGCTTTAGGTATTGCATAAATGAACTCTTGGCACATGTGGCATTCCACATATTTGTTGAAGGAATGAATGAAAATGAATATCATTTCTTTAAACTATTAGAATCAACCAACCAGTGTTTATTGAGAACATATGGTCTCAGCGTGATAGAGTTCTTATAACTTTTTTAAAAATTATGCTTATTTTTTAACATTATCATTGCATTTGGAAAATATGAAACTTGCTTCTGATGTGGGGGTTAGGATCCAAAGCCAGTTTATAATTGTGTGTAATGAAAATTATTCTTTAAAAATCCTTGTTGCTCATAAGTAAACTATATGTGATTTGGATATACCATGTAACCCTGTACTGTGTTATAGTAATGTATAGTATATAATAAAGAGTACATATACAAAATATAATTTTATAGTATTTTTAATCACATAAGAGAGTCAGTCATTCCTTCAACACTGAAACAGACTTGTTTCCATTATACATAAGTTAGCAAGATGCTCTCATTATGAGGAAAAAACAAATAGGGAACAGCAGTTTCAGGTATCCCATGTCACAAACATTGGGGCATACAAGGAAGAGGTAGGGAAGGCTTTCCAGAGATGGCAATTTAGTTGAGTTTTAAAGGATGAGTAATGGAAAGACATTCTAGGAAGCATAAACAATGTGTGCTATAAATAATTCTACATATGGAGCTATGTTTGGCATTATAGGCATATAGAAGATGAGGTAGAAAAGACCAAACTATGAATTTGACAGAAGTCAAATCATGAATGCCATGCTGGGAATTTGAAACTTATCAAGGAGACAGGGTCATTTCATTGCCATTAATATTAATGTTGGCTTGGTCAATAATTTTCATACTCCATCCTCAAAATCATTTATTTTTATACGCTTATGGATAACATTATAAATATATTCTGTTATACAGTTGACATGAAAACATAACATTTCTCTCTCTATGTGAAGTTTATGGAAGGACCCCTTTTGGAAGGTCTGTACTGGGATTCATGGTACAATAACAACAAGTTGTATAATTTAAAGAACAGCAGTCGCATCTACTATGAGAACATACTTTTAGGAGTCCCCAGAGTCCGTCAACTAAAAGTCCGCAACAACACATGCCAAGTTTATTCATCCTTTCGGTCTTTGATGAGTGAATGTTATGCCAAATACACTTCTAAAAATGAAGACACATCTGATTTTGGCCTTAACAGTGATACTGAGTAAGTAGTATAAAATTACACAACTTTTTCTAGCACCTTACCATTGTATCTTTAAACAATTCTGAAAATGTGTATTTTCAAAATCATACCAACAGGCGTCTGTTTCAATAATAATATCAAAGGAAGACTCAGATGCAGTGTTCAGAAAAGAGCGAATCTGGATTTTTTTTTGTTATTTACCAAATGACAAAGTTGTTTTGTGACTGGTATATGAAATGCTAAGTTATATTGGACAGAGTGCAAAGCATCCAATTTTGCTTTTACAATACTCAGCGAGCTCTTCTGGCTCCTGCCAGACTCACCTCAAACACACCCAAAATGCTTCTTGGGATCCCTAAGGAGTATCTTAGGTGTCTTAGGCAGCTTTCCTCCTTTTCTCACGCTGGCTTACTGCAGTAATATTTTTCTTCTGTTGTTGCCAATAATAAAAAGAGGCCATTATGTTCTACAGGCTGTACATCTGATGATGCCTGCGAAACATATCGTGGCCATTGTTCTCCAAAGTGGCTGAAGTTACTGCTGGTGACTCCTCTACACATGTTATATTGAAAATGTGAAAGCCCAAAGCCACTGTAGTACCCACCCTTAACACAGAAGCTGCTGGGATCATTGCTTTTAGAGTCCTATGAAAATCTTAGAGGACAGATAATAAATCTTTTTAAAAATTTAATATTTATCAAAGTGATAAAAATACTTACAAAGGTCCACCCTTTCCTACTCATAATTCCCACTCCAGAAGCAGCCACTTTTAGCTCTTTGTTGTTTCTTTGGGTATATATTTCCCATTTCTAAATAACATGCTTAAACTGCTATTACTTGATTTTACAGTTTTATATATCGTCTCTATCATGGAAGTTGTCTGTCATGTATCTCTTATACCACTGCCTCTATAAATACTCTTCTTTTTCCTCTTAGTCTATAGTTATAGCATATTTTTGTTAATCATTAGTCAATGTTCATATTATAAATAGTAACAATGATTACATCTCCTTTCTTAAACAACCTCTTTTGTATTCCCAGCATTACACCCACATTGCTTTGTAGTTTTTGTTGACTTATTTTTTCTTCATAGGAGTTTCCGAGTGTTCTTGAAGGCAACAAAGTACTTGTATAATTCTTATAAATCTAATAAATAATGTAACACAGTCTTAAATACTATAGCATCATACAGTATCCCTTTCAACAAAAAAAAAAATTATATATTACTTTTGTTTTTTACCCAAATTTAGAACCATGTGTCTGTCCATCCCATACTGCTCTTATTCTATGCTTTTTGAGTCATGGTCTTTATTGTTTCAGGAGATTGAAAGTCTCTGCTTTATGGAGACTTTATCTACATAAAACTTTACATCTGTATTGGATTTGTGTGTGTGTGTGTGTGTGTGTGTGTGTGTGTGTGTGTGTGTGTGTGTCTATTTGTTTGGTGCTAACCAGGGAAAATTTGGAATAACCAGCATTGGTCTTCTCCACCTCTATTTCTGCTACATTGTACTATTGTGGGGCAAGTTGGAAAGAATCCTAAATCAAGTAGGAACCTGACCTGTGATGACATTTTCAATATCTTCCCTGGCTTCCACAGATAAAGAATGTTTTAAGTATTTTGTTCTTAGTGTCAAATGAACAATATTTATTTATAAAGCAGTTTTGCTAGCCTCTTGAATAAATGAAATAATTATCATTAAACTGCTTACCGTGTTATCAAGGAAGTATTGTTCATTTCTAACAAGTTTCTTTCCAGGACATTTTTCTCCCTGTGATTCGGTATAAATGTACATCTTAATAAATGAATAAAATTTGAGAGGGAACATAGTGGATATAGAAGGAAGTACTCATGCATCCTTAGTAGATAATGCTGTCTGTTTTATTTAAGGTGTTTATTCATTGGAAAATGAAGAAATTCACCCCAAGTTAGGTCCAATAATCAGAATTTATTGTAAGGACACGTATGCATGGCTTCCTCAGGAAAAGCAGCAATAATAGTAAGGCCACAAGAAGCATATATATTTTATAATTGGATTCAAATGGAACCTAGCTCCAGAATCGCAGGCAGTTCTAGGTGGATTTCTCACCTTCTACTTTTCTCCATCTCATGGTTTATGCTTTCTCATCTTTTCTGCTTCTTCCTAACATGACTTCTACTCTCTTAGATAAACTTTCTTCACATCGTTTCCTTTAGTCTCCATTCTTGTGTTCCCTACATCGTCTCTTTGTATTTTAAATTCATATTATTAAGAGTTAAAATCTAAATGGCCCAATACATCTTCACAGAACAAATCATTGGCCAACCTGTGGGTTGGTTTCCCTTAGATCAAGTCCCCACCAGATGTCCAGGGAAAGTTAAATAGTATAAAACATTTCCTCTTAAGGCAGCTCCAGCAAGGGCTGTGGTCTTGGGTTACTTATGCATTTTAAATTGGAATTTTAAGGCTAATCTGTTAGGTATTCTATTATTCCAAATTCTCATAACAACTATCAATAATTTAAATACCAAAATTAACACTATAAATTTGGAATTGTAATACCTTTTATTCCCTAAAAACTAAAATAATAAGTTTGTGCTTGTTTGTCTATCTAAAATGTTAGATTCATTAATTAAAAGCATTAAAAATTTTAAGTAGGAAAGGGTTGGTATAACAAATGTTCTTGTTTCAGTTTAACAATGATAAAAACACTCAAAAATATAACTGGAAATTATATAAATGTCTAACCACTATGCTGTACACCTGAAACTAATACAAAATAATACTGAATATCAACTGTAATTGAAAAATAAATACAACTATGGAATTTTCATTAAATATGAGTATTTTTTTCTTAGTGTTGTCACTCTTTTTCCTACTGCTGAAAACAACATTATTAGTAGAAAAACAAGTGTAAGCAGTGCATCTTTGGATAATTGTTTAGATCTGTTCTGGGGAGGCAAAACGACTGAAATAAAGAATCAAGGTTTTATTTTTTTGATATCCCACAATTAAGATAAAAGAAAAAATAAACAATTATACATTTTACTTTATGTATTTTCATTAAAATAAGATACCTATATAACAATATAGACATTGTAACAAAATTTTTATTTACTAGGTATTTATAAATGGTATATGACCAACTATGAAGCACCTTTTCTTCCCATGCTGAGACATACTTGTGAATTAAAACCCTTGGTATTCTTGTTCTACTCAAAGACTTAAGATCTGATAAAACAACAGAGACTATGTTAAAGAACAAAATCAATCATTATTTTCTTGATTATAAGATCTCTGAGACAAGAAGTGGATTTCAAAAATTTTTTTCTCATAGCAGCTAGTCCAGTGTCTTGCCCACAATAAGCACTAAAAAATGAAAACATATTAAATCTTAATTCTTTTAACTTTATCCTTAACTCACTGCTTTGCTTCAAAATTACTGTTGTTATAAACTTAGTACTTTTTTTTTAACTACTGCTTTTGAACTAAAGGTTAGCTTAAATTCTTAGAATGCTTCTCCGTCAGCCTTCTCATCTCTCCTTTATTCTTTTAATATCTAACAGATGGAAGTACTCTTCTGCTACTATCAGCTCCCCTCGGCACTGGGGATTTCTTGGTGTTTACCAAAATGGGGGATATATTTTCACTTTATCAAAATCAAAATCTGAAACAAAAAGCAAATTTGTTACCCTTCGACAGAACAGCTGGATCACAAGAGAGACTAGAGTTATTTTTATTGACTTTTCGTTATACAATGCTAATGTAAATCTGTTTTGCATCATCAGGTGAGTGACTTAAAACCTCTTTATTGGAATATTTAATTTAGAAAGTATCCAGTGCCCTCATTAGGATTTCCAGTTTGTACATGTCTTTACTGAAATTAAAATCGTAAGCTTCAAAATATAATGTATTCTGCCAATAATGAAAAAGACAATAAAGCAACATCATATTCCATTTCATTATTTCAGAATATATTCAAGAACATAGACAATTACATGTTAGTTTTATATTACTAAAGGATATATAGTCTTAATTCTTGTCATTCTGTAGTTGCACAGATCTAATATTCATTCTTGATTTCTTCCTCTAAATCAGATCATTCAAATCCATTGATTTCCTTTCAGAATGAGCTTATTTATTGTTATTAATTTTTGTCTCAATAAACAATTCAAATTTCAAACAATATGTAACAGGAGCCAGCATCCTAGAAATTAAGAGCCTGTGGTGATTTGCAAAAATGGCCCCAGTTCTTCACATCTTTTCCATGTAACTTTGTAAGTGCTCTGCCACCCAAGGCAGGGTGCACTGTCCCCAGCCCTTGATGCTGGGCTCAACTACATGACTTGCTTTGATCAAAGGAATGTTAATAAATATGATACAAGCAGAAGCTTGAAATGAGTTTACATTAAAACTTGCTTTCTTGCACCTCTGCCATTGCAAGAGGAGGACATGTCCGGGCCCAGGAGGAGAATGAGAGACATCCTCTCATAGGGAGGAAGAGGAGAGAGAACCAACCAAAGGAAAAATTCTTTCCATTAGTTTGATTACCTTAGGTCATCTGCCTAACCTGGACCATACTAATTGGCTTAGGCTTGGGTTCTAGAATCAAACACTGGCAAAGGAAATGAGATTACCATGATTGGATCTGGGAATAGGTGACTGCCTGATATAATCAAGGTTCTGTTAGAAGAATGCGTTAATGACCACTAGACAGGCAAACAATAATGTCCACTATAATCTGCGTGAGCCACTTTTCTCTCATGAGTCTTATAGTTTTACTCTAAACAGAATGTGTAACTGGTGTTTACTCTGATAAGGGGATTTTGCCCTTGTGCAACAATACAGTGAAACACAATCATAGCCTTTAAAATTTGTAAAAATGAATAAAACAAATGAATTACCTAAAGCAGCCAATGGACATTATCCCTCTTATTTTATAGTTCTTCTCTTTCAGAGACTGAGATTTTTATCAATAGTATTCATCCTTCCCAATAGTTCTGATCAAGGTAAAGTGAAGAATGCAAATCATTTCTATGTTCTAAATAAGAGTAGAAACAGGATAACTGGCTTAAAGTCATATGAAAAACTTCTTGTAATATTAAGTCCAGATTTCATTTCTCTAGGTTTTATGCTTATTCTGTATGACCTTTTAAAATATTATTTTCTAGAAACGTCAGCAGATTTTGAAACTTCTGATAGTTTATCTAATCAGTAGTTGTATGGAAACATATTGCTTACACTAAAACCTTATCCACTTGTTTTCCTTTTTGTACACATATCTGGCAAACTAAACTGAATGCTGTTCTTTCTCTTTTTGCATATTTGCCTGCACTTCAGATCAAAATATTTTCTTTCATTTCATTCACTTATTAATATTGCACACTGACTGTTGTGCAAAGCAAAACAAACAGTTGTTTTCTATTTGTTAACTGGTTGTTTTTGTTTTTGTTTTTCTTTTTTTTCTTTTTTTTTGGCAGCACATTATTGCAGCACCAGTAAGATTTGCTAATATCTTTAGGTAGGAATAATTACATTATGACATTGTGATAGAGATGCTTGTTCCTTCAAGTACTGCCATTTCCTAATTGTCTGAAGTTGTGGAGAACACTAGAAGTGAACCACCTTCCATATGTTTATATTTGGTGATAGAATTTATTTTTATATTTTTATTTGCACATAGATCTTTATATCCAAAACCCAGTACCTAAACAGAAAACATTTGCTTTAGTAAAGTATGTGGTCTTGATGTTTAAAAGCAAGAAATATTTCTGATAACTGAAAGGGAAAAAGTGTATTTCCCTCCTCTCAAGTAAAGAATTATGTATTTGGTGGAAGTCCTGACTAATAATAGTAACTGACAGTAGAGCATTTTCTTGAACATCATCTCATTCTCCTGTGGAGATAAATTAGTATTCCCAGTTATGAATGAGCAATGTAAACACAGAATGGAATGAATGACCGGCTAAAATCACATCTTACTTTCTCATTTACATTGGTCTTTGACCACTGTGACTATTCAAAGTATAAAAAGACTGAGCCATTAAAAAAACAAGTAAATCCATTAGAAAATTTTTAAACCTAACCCATGACCCCAAGGAAACATATTTTGTACAAAATAACTGATTACCATTAAATTACCTATCATCACTGATTAGAAATTTCACATTGAGTTTGGTACTGAAATATAAATGCTTGAAATGAGCAGTTACTTTCACAAATCTAATTTTACAGATTGGTGGCAGAATTCCCTGCAACTGGAGGAGTACTTACTTCATGGCAGTTTTACTCTGTGAAGCTCCTCAGATATGTTAGCTACTATGATTATTTTATTGCTTCCTGTGAAATCACATTTTGTATTTTTCTTATTGTCTTCACCGCACAAGAAGCCAAAAAAATGAAAGAATTTAAGTCTGCCTATTTCAAAAGTATTTGGAACTGGCTAGAATTACTCCTTTTGGTGGTAAGTATATATTCACATGTATGGTTGAAGGGAATCACATATGAACCCACCAGTGAGAGAGGTGTAAAAGCAGAAGTTTCTATTAATCAGGACTTATTTAAAAAGCTACAAGTATCAATCATGAAATGAACTGTTATAGTACACACCAAGAATGTGCCTCCAAAAGGGAAAAATCTTTTTTTTTTTCCTTGTTTGGTCCTTGGGAGGACCAGCATAAACCTAGAAGAATAGGTATTATGATTTAATGTGCACAATAGCTCTCACCTACCCCCCACTCAAAAATATATTCCTTATAAGGCCTCATTTTGAAAACCATAGATCTTTGGGGGAAAGGTCCTTTAAAATGCACTCTTCTATGTTGCCAAAATCTGATTTCCTCCTCACACTGAATTTTGAAAGAATAGCCAAACTCACGCCTACACAGAATACTGAAGGGGGAGGAGGTTTGAGTAGTCAGAGGGTATAGCTTGCGGGCACAGAGGACGCCAGGATAGAAAAATAGTGCCTGACCTGAAAAAAAAAACTCCGAAGACTGCCAGTTCTGGTCACTAGAACATACTAAAATAAACAGAGATGTAAGCAGGACAATATAGATGTTAAGAGCTTGGTTTTAGAAATAATGAACAAACCTTTCTGGCTTATACAATCTGATCATTTACCCCTATTGGCCCTTAGATATAGCCAATTTAGTATATAAGCCTAATTTCCCAAAATCAGATTGAAAGTTTCTCAGAGTCAGAAAGTATGCCATCTACCTTTCTGGTATACCCAATAATGTTTAACATGGGGTAGGCATAGCATTAAATGTTTAACCATCTAAGTATTTTTGGGCAAGGGAAATCAAAAGAAAATTTTCACTACAGTTACAAAGCTCTGATACCAAAGATAACCTGGTTCTGAAATCTAAAAGAGTTATTAAAGGGCTCCAAAAGGGTTTTGTTTTGTTTTGTTTGTTTGTTTTTGGAACTGTAAAATTTATTCCTTGTAGTGTTACATAGTGAAATTATTAAATTTTTAGGAAACATGCAGTTACATGGAACAGAAACCCTTACAGCCTAGTCAGAATTATATAACCATTTTATATATTTGTGCTTTATGACTTAAAGAAACAAACAAGCTAATAGATTAGGATGGCCAGGCAATCAATACTTTCCTACCTTTATGATAATTATGCTACCTTAAATTTCTTTAAAATTCATTTACATAGAAGCCTATGTCTTCTCTCTCCTTCCTTTTTCGTTGAACTTTTGATGAACTTTTTCATGTGCTTCTTCACAGACTACAGGAGATTTAGAGGTAGAAATAGTCTCTAATTTACCCCTTCTTTTTTTCTCAGTTGTGTTTTGTGGCTGTTTTCTTCAACTCATACTGTAATATACAAATTTTTCTCTTACTTGGACAGTTGTTAAAAAATACTGAAAAATATTCAGACTTCTATTTTCTTGCCTATTGGCACATTTATTACAACAATATAATTGCTATTACCATCTTCTTTGCATGGATAAAGGTATTTATATTTTATTATATTACATAGAACATCATATTTTATTGTATTAAGATATCAAAATGGGAACTTAAAGTCAAACACCCCTGACTACCATTAGTCCCTCCTTTAATCTGAAGTCAATTTCTTCTGAAATTAACTTAACTTACTCTAATTATAATCTTTAATATTCTATTTCAATTAACTTTGTTCTTTTTCAGATATTCAAATTCATAAGCTTTAACAAGACAATGTCTCAGCTGTCATCAACTTTGTCCCGCTGTATGAAAGACATAGTAGGATTTGCCATCATGTTTTTTATAATATTCTTTGCTTATGCCCAGTTAGGATTTCTTGTTTTTGGATCACAGGTTGATGATTTTTCCACTTTTCAAAATTCCATGTAAGCTCTTAGTATATATGTAATTATATTTTCCACTTCCAACAACAACAACAAAAATCATGGAAAGGTCTATAATTAGTAACATAAGTTTTAATAAATTTAAACTTGGTTTAATATTTTCACCGATGGCTAAATATCTGTCACACTCAAAGTAAAGACAGGCATTAAAAGACCCAAATGGATAGTGATATGAGTTTTTTAAGAGTTACTAGATCAAGCCAGAAAAATAATTTTCATTTCTCACTATAAGTAGAAATTTTACCTAAGATAAATAAATTGGCTCTATGTCTCTGTAATATTTATTATTTTCTGGGAAAAAGAAATCTTAAGTGTTTTCTTTATAGGGCTCTATCTGTAGAATTATTCTATTTATGTTGACCTGATTGTCCTTTGCTGATCTGGCAAAGCTGTGTTTTAAAAATAGCTTTATACACATAAAGCAGTCAGCAAGCAACAGTTAAGAAAACTGGTTAGAATCCCTAAAGTATCCAGGCTTTACTTTAAAAGTGAATGATTTTAATAAATTTATTACCCTTTTCGGGTAGGTAAAGCAAGTTCTGTCTATATAAGAAAAGTATTATAGAATAAAATATCAATTCTCAAAACATGGACTCTAGACCAAGATTAGGAGAAAATGGCTTCATATTTAAGTATGTTTGGGAAAATTCACCTCACTCTTTTGGAAATTTGCAATACATAGTAACATATAGCTCTGAGAAAAAACACAAAAACTTTCTTTAGTTAAAAATTCTCCAAACTTATTTGTCCATGACTCTTTTAGTTGATTTGAGGGAAACGTGGGTCTAAAGGAATGTCTTAGGTTGCCCTCTTTTTCACCATCACATGTAAATAATTGAAGTGCCAATCATATGAAATTTAATAACGTTTTCCTGAAATAACCCTTTACTAAATCAAAAGTGGAAGAGGAGTGAACTAGGAACCGAAAGGATATAATTCTACTTTTCCAATTCTGCCATTAGCTTTTTAACATTTCTAAACCTTAATTTCTTTATCTGTAAATAAAGGGGCTAAATCACTCTCAAAGGTCCTTCCCAACTTCAAATGACCTATAATTCGAGTCTAATTAGCTTATCCTGAGTGAATGTTTGCAGTTCCAACAACTTTTTGGTCCTTTCCTAGGATCTTAAGTGTTAGTTGATAAAATTTAGTGGTATTGAATATTGAATATAAATGTACTAACTTATAGAAACTTGAAAATTTGTCTTACCCTTCCTTAGTGGGAAAAAGGAAGTAGAAGGCACAAAATAAAAAGAGAACTTTGGAATGGATTGAGGGTATTTTTGCTGTTGGTAATGTTGTGCTAGGTTATTGAGATCAACCTCCTCTTCAGGACAATTTAAAAAGCTGGATAAAATATAGAAAACATTGAAATTCTATAGAACTAACAAAAAAGTAATAACAACCAAAATCAGAAGGCTCGAATCCAGAGAAGTAAGCCCAGTACCCAATGCAACTTTTGCCCTCAAAGCTTTTTTTTTTTAAGCCAATAGGATTGTTATTTTTTTAATTGTGGTAAAATACATACAACAAATTTACCACCTTAACCATTTTCAAGTATAAAGTTCAGTGATATTAAGTACATCCATATTGTGCAACTATCACCACCATTTATCTCCAGAACTATTTTTATCTTGCAAAACTGAAACTCTACACCCATTAAACAAAAACTTTCCATTTCCCTCCTTACCCCAACCCCTGACAAACCACCACTCTACTTTTTGTCTCTATGATTTTGATTACTCTGGGTACCTAGTAGAATTATACAGTAGTTGTCTTTTTGTGACTAATTTACTCCACTCAGTATAATGTCTTCAAGATTCAACAATATTAAAGAATGTCAGAAAGTCAGAATTTCCTTTTTTTGATGCTAAATAACATTCCATAGTGTGTCTATACCATATTTTGTTCACCTATTCTTCTGTCAATGGACATTTGGATTGCTTCCATGTTTTAGTTATTGAGAACATGGGTGTATAAATCCCTCTTCAAGACCCCATTTTTAATTCTTTTGGTTATTTGCCTATAGGTGAAATTGCTAGATCATACGGTAATTCTATTTTGGATTTTTTGAGGAATGGCCGAAGTGTTTTCTACTATGGCTATATTATTTTACATTCCCACTAACAGTGTACAAGAGTTTCAATTTCTTCAAATCCTTACCAACACTTTTTATTTTCTGGGTTTTTTGTTTTTGTTTTTGTTTGGTAGTAGCCATTTTAACAGGGGTAAGGGCCTTGCAACAAGGCAGAGAATATACCTACCCCTATGTCTGCACTACTGTGATCAGAAGCAGCGATCAGAACAGAAACCCTGATGTTTAGAGAACAGGGTTCTTATTGCCCATCCTGGCTTCCACAAACTGTGTGCAGACTGTTCCAGGAATAGATGCACAGCTGCCTGACATTGGATGGAGGTGTGAGAGATGGGTAGCTGCTACCAAACCAGAAGGTGAAATTGACCAAAATTGTTTAAGACTTTCCCTGGAAGGTGCAAGCCTTCAATAGAATAGCTTCCAAAATAATTACATCAGACAGTTGCCAGTGTGATTGTTGCCTAGGTGGGGAGACATATTCCTAGTGCTTCTTCTTCAACTATCTTCCCGAAATCTCCACCCTGAAGGCATTTTTGCTGATCCAGAAGAAACAGTTGAGAAACTGTTTCTCATCACCTGTCAGAGAAGACAAGTTAGAAACACTAAACCAGAACCTCTTTTTTTTTTTTTTTATGCTAGATAGTTACATTTGATACGTTGAGAAATTTTGGTTTCCTTGCAATTTAGCATTTCTCTTTTTATCTTGTGTAGAAGAGCATTACAAACCGGTATTAAAAACTAGATACTTTAAATATGATTTAATCAGGTCTTAGGTACTGGGGGTGAAATTCCAGATAAATCTGAGTCCTGGGACTCCAAATACATTTTCTTCTTTCATTGTAAATAGCCATATGCCCCCTTTACATGATTGGCAAAAGCAACAAGGAACAAGAAGCATTCTCCCTTTTGACTGACTAGCCAATCATGCAAAGTATCAATATATTAATAAAAATGCCTTCCCAGATTTTCCCTTAAAATAAACACATAATTTGTAACATATTCCTGATGTGTCTGGCAATGCCACTGCAACTTAAATGATGAGAAAATAAGATGTCAGGTTAAGAAATTCTATCTCTGCCACTACTATGTTCATTCGAAGCCTTAATTTCTTAACTTACCATCTTTAAAATAAAGAAAATGAAGATTTGTAATATTTTAAATGCTATTTCACATCAAAAACCAAACTTTCATAGTTATTAAAGAGAATAAAATAAACCTCAGGATCATATTTGAGGATCATTAACACTTGAGACTTAGCAAATGACAAAATAATTGGTATCCTTATTTAAGCAGAAATTAAACATACCGTTGATATTAGAAATTTTAGGGCTCTTGGGTCTAGGTACATGTTGAAAATCACTTACTGGACAAGGTCAAAGTATTCTAAGCTTTAGAAAGGCACAGAAATAGTTAATGACCCCACTGCTAAGAGCATCTGGTAAGCCAGTATCTCAAGGTTCAAATCTTGTAGGTAAACATTGGGTTTATATTGGTTAAATAAATTGAAGCCCATCATTTCCTGGACTACCTGTTTCAGCTATTGAGGTACCTCAAGTCTTGCCTTCAGATTAACTACATCCAGTTTTATAGAACTCTGTTAACTAAAGTCAGAGAACAGATACCATATGCTGCTAAATACTTTCCTAGGCACACTGGTAACCCCCACCAGTTGTCATGTATGTATGAAGGGATATAACATTTTCTAATGTTTTTCTTCCCTCCTATCAAAGATTTGCACAGTTTCGAATTGTTCTTGGGGATTTTAATTTTGCTGGTATTCAACAAGCCAATCGTATCTTGGGACCCATTTACTTCATCACCTTCATCTTTTTCGTGTTCTTTGTCCTATTGGTAAGAATGACCGTATATGTAACCTTTTTGCTTACATTTTTCAGAATAAAAAAATGAAATTAACAATTTAGAAGAAATTATGGTATCACTGCTTGGCTGTCAGAACACTTTACATTTATTAAGAATAGTGTGAATTCTTAGTAATCCAGGTTCTCTAGTCCAGTGTCTAAACAAGCTGTCCAATGGAGAATGTGATCACAGTTACCATCTGGGTGTTAATTGTGTGCCAGCAGTGTGCTAAATCTTTGACATACATAACTTGAATGTCCCAGGTCTCTCTAGCCTGGGGCATTTCATACCAGTAGGTATGAATTTAGGTTATTAATATTCCAAGTGCTTATTGCAATGGCTTTTGGCCATTACAGCTGAAAGCGCACTCCTGTATGATTTTTGGGAATGCCCAGGATGGGTCTCATATGTGCTTAGGACTTATCTATTTGGACTTCCTAATCAAAGAACCTTGCCTTCCTAATGAAGGCACTGCTATTGTCCTCCATGAAAATGTTTTGTTGTCACACACAGCAAGTTATCCTCGGGTGATGGCCAAGAATCCTCACAGTGACAGAGCTGGGCCACAGTGAAAGGTGGAGAAGTGGGCTAGGGGTAAAAATACCCTCTCCACAATTTTGTGTTATCTGGATAGCAGTATTCCTAAGAGTCTTAGTAAGATTGAGCATTTAAATAGCTTTATAAAATTTTTAAAAACTAAAACCGCCCTTTATGAACATATAATTAATCTAATAGAATATGTAATATTGATAATTTATTGTATATATAACCAGTTCATATACACTATTTTAAATTCTTTTATTTACCATAAATGTTACCCAGATTCACACACTGCACATTTCCCATTCTACTGTTAGTCTTCATTGCCATTTCTCTATTGTTAAACGTTATTTTTTAAATTTAAATCGTTTTACAAATTCCAGTACTTATCAAAGTTACTAATATTTAAACTAAATTTTAATTGAAATAATTATTTATTTGAATATTTTTCCCCAGAACATGTTCTTGGCAATAATTAATGATACCTATTCTGAAGTGAAAGCTGATTATTCAATAGGCAGAGTGCCGGATTTTGAACTTGGTAAAATGATTAAAAAGGTATGGCAAATTATTTTCCTAATTAGACTTCTAAGACAAATCTTGTTCAGTTTATACTCTTGTAAGTATGAATAATACTTAACCCCCAAGTGGTAGTGGGCTTGGAGGTTTTTTGGGGGGGGGGCAGGGGGGTCTTGTTTTGGCCCAGTTTTTGTATTTTGTATTTGGCCCATATTTGTTTATTTCACTACAAGGGCAATGAGATATGCTCTCTGCCTTTAAAAATATGACCAAAATTATTTCAGTTTAATGTATCAAATAGTAATTGATTTACTAAATGCAAAGCACTGTTGAGTATTATAATAAAAGTTCTCTTCTCTCCAAAAGTTTTCAATTTAGATGCTATAGAAATCTAAAATCAATTTAGATTTCTATAAACTATCTAAACTCAGAATCCCATGTGCCTTATCTTCCTCACTTTCCTGTTTCTGTTAATAGCAACACTCTTTTCTCAGTCACGCCACTCAAAAACCTTGGACTTTTTATTCCCTTGTCAAAGCTTGTGTGTAAAGATCATCTCTGTAGTTTTTGCTCACATTTGTGGAACCCAAGGACACTTTGAATTCTAACTGCCACCACTAGATTAGGATTTTCAGGACTTTTCATCCAGCCTTCTGTATAACATCTTATCTGTTCTAGGTTCTTTCCTGTGCCAGGCCAGCTCTGATCATATCACTTCTCTGATCAAAATTCTTGTTTCTCTGGGCTTGTCAAAATAAGACCAAATTCTTTACTCAGACATTTGGGGCCTTTCTAAAGTCTCACAGTTCCAACTTATTTTCTTTATTCACGATCATTTGACTGTAGAATTTCTACTTTCTATGCCTCCATTTACAGCACTGTATATCCCAGCCAGTGTGTTGAGCACTGCTATTTACCATGCTTACTCTCTCTCCCTCCCTGGGCCTCTGCTCCTGTCATTCTCTGACCTCAGGCATATTCCCTAACACACTCATTGACATTCCATTCTCCCTGACAGTAGAATCTTCCTTGTTGTCTCGACACCTACCTCACTTTGAGCTGTAGCAGTCATGTATACACCATCTTGCCCATCTCTGCATAACCACAGCTTCAACCATAGCACTTCACATAGAAAAGATCCTAATAGCTCTGGGCTTAGTGGGATTTAAAAGATCTGTCCAGGAATTTATCTGTAAAAGAAAACTTAATATGTCGCCCAGTGAGCTTAACTGTGTGTTTTTTTCCCCCATCTTTTATCTCTTGATTATGATGTTGGTTATGTGCATTAAAGTGTTAATATCTTTAAAGCAGCAAATATTAATAATACCTTAAAGATTTTTTTTCTAGCTCAAGTGTGATGCCCACAAGAGAACCCCTTTTTCTTTTCACCAGCAGCCAGAAACCATAAGTGCTGACAAAGTGATAAGATAATCCTAGCATTCGCCTCTACATTTCTTTAGAGTAGTAGTCCCTAGAGACAAGCATTCCACATTTCCTTTACCTTGATGAAAAATTAATATAGGATATTTTTTGATGAATCTTTAAACTATTTTTAATTATGACCAGAGTTACGACAATGTTCTCGAAAAACTCAAACTAAAGAAACCGCAAAAGGATGAAAAAAGGTAAGATGACTTTAAACTTTTAATTCACCATTTTAAAGCTCTATATTATATAAGACACTTAAAATAGGGTTTTGATTCTATCCAAAGTACTGATTCTACATATGTTGTCAATACAACCAGTAATGCCTCCTAAATTCTAAGAGTCATGAAATTCTAAAAAAAAAAAGCTTTACAGAGGCTGGACACAAAAGTAAAGTCCCTCTAAAAAGGTAGGAAATTATTTTAGTCTACATGAAGTGCATTTATTTAGCTATCAAAATAAAAACATTTTTACGCTAAATATTAATACATTTACACTTATTGATTCAATTTGTTATCAAAAGGCTTTCCAAACCCAGATCTCTGAAAATGGGACATAATATAAACATTTTTTCATAGCTACAGATGTGATACTGTGGGGAACTTACTAATGGCCACATTTTCCAAATAATTAGTTAGCAGAAAGAACAGAAATGCAATTCAAATACTTACTATAGATATGACTGTATTTTATGCAGACATTTCCCTTTGTACTATCATATGCCTCTAATTTTTATTTTATATTCTCAGTGGAGATTTGGTTGAACAAGCCAGAAGAGAAGGCTTTGACGAAACTGTAAGATTTTAATTTTCTCATAAAGTGATAGCTTTATTAGAAATATGCTTACAAAACAATTCTGAATAAGAATTGAAATGATTTGTTTTTTCTGAGCAGTAGTTGCCAACTCCAAATATTTTTCCCAGAATCTAGATCCTTTCTTGTTTAGGACAAATCATTTGGATTCCAGATGCTCCCTTTCTTATTGGTACTCTCAGCCAGATATGCTGGTCTTACAACTGTACACTCACTGTGGGATAATCACACAAGGTTTAGTGAGTACACTCTATAGAGATTATATAATTTTTCTCTTGTAATCATCATAAATCACTTTGATTTTTTATATTTCAAAATTATAACATATATTCAATGAATGACTTAATATATGTGTTTAAGAAATAATTATAAAGCACACAATATATTCAAGGAAAGAAAATGTAAGCCAAGGATTTTTATATCTAGCAAAGCTGTGCTTCCAGTATAAAGGCTCAGTTTTGAACACACAAGAACTCGGAATACTGTTGTATTCCTGAGGGTTCTAGGAGAGGATCAGCTTCAGCCAACCAAAAAATGACTGGAGAAATTTTGGAAAAAGGAAGGAGGACGAGAGAAGGTATGAAGTAGAAAAAGCTGACTGGTTCACATTTTATAGCTAAAAGAGTTATCATTTAGAGTTAATAACCAAGAAGAAACTTTAGCATATTTAAGAGTACAATAATAAATAACAAGATTGTTTTATTGATTTTAAAACACTTTTTTCACAGTTTAACATCTCTGAAATCAAGACATGCCTTACGGTTGACAGTGTGTCATATATTAATTGTCAGCGCTTTTTCCTAAGTGGTACATAAAATAATAGTGTGTCTTATAACAGACTCCACCTCTCAGACACAAGGAAATATGGTAACGTGACTGAAAATATAATTGGGTAGTAAAGGGGAAGGAGATAAGGAGGCAAATTACAAGCTAATTTTCTTGTTGAACTTGTTTGATTCCTCGTTGAGGGAACTAAAGCAAGAAAGGGAAGACTCAGAGTATATAAAAGGATACATGACTAAAAGCAAACCACCTAAACAAAAATACATACATTCCTAAAGGACAAAAGTACCAAGAGAACAGAAAATATACCACATGGTAAAAGACTTAAAATAAGATGATATGATATAACTGTGGCCAAATATATCTGACATATCAGTAATAGCAAATAAATGTAATTTGCTTAAAAAGAAAAAGAAATATATTTTCGGGTTGAATCACAAAGCAACATCCAATTTTATGCTGTATCCTAAAATACATACCTAAAACAAAGTAATTCAGAAAAATTAAATATAAAAGTATGAACAAAAGTATATCAGGGAATACAACAACCTCAAGATATAATTCTAGACAAAAAGCTCTAAATGAGAAGAAGGGCACTTTATAAGATCAGCTGTAATAGTTATGACTACCTATGCACCAAATTACTCAGCATCAACGTCTATAAAGACTACTGGACTTATAAGAGGAGAAATAGGAACACAAAAAAAAACAGAACAGATCAAGAAAATTAAAAGAATTTTTAAAAAGCCAATATAATGAACACACAGTCTTACACTTACATATATTACTCTGTACGCAGAAGATTCACTCACTTTACAAAAACTCATTCATTAAAACTGATCATAAAGAAAATCTCAATAAATTCCAAAAAGTGGTTAACATAGAAAAAATTCTCTGAAAATATATTAATGAAATTAGAAAATAAAAAAATTCTTTAACCAAGTTTAAACTATTAAACAATTTTGAATCAAAGAGAAAATACAAAATGAATTGTAGAATTCCAGAAAACAAAATGCCAAAAACACTACATAACAGAATCTGTGAGATAGTCAAAGAATACCCAGAGGACAATTAATAGCCTTAAATTTATGATTTTTAAGGAACAAATAATTTCAAGCTATTTAGGTTGTTCCAGAGCAGAGAAAATGGAAAACTTCCATATTAGTTTTACAAAGTGACTATATAGCAATTTTAAAACCTGGAAATGAGTATACCAAAAATAAATTTTAAAAAAGCAGCAGCAGCAAACTGAATCTAACAGATAAAATAATATATCATGATTTGGATAGAGTTTATTCTAAGAATGGAAAGATGGTTCAAAATTGGGTAATCAACTAACATAATTCACTCTGTCAATAGATCCAAAGAGGAAAATTACATCATTTTCCACAGATGCTGAGTATTTGATAAGATTTGACATTCAATCTTGGGAGAAACAAAGCAAAACAGGAATCAATGGACACTTCCTTGATATAAAACATACTTATGTCATCTCTAAGCTAGCATCTTACTTAATAGGAAAACACTGGACATGTCAGAAAAAAGACAAAGATGTACTGGAGGGATCAGCCAAAACGAGAGAAATTAGAAGTAAAAGAATTGAAGAGGAAACAGTAAAGATGAGGTCTATTTAAGATATGATTCCCTTAAGTTTTCTAGGTATACAATCAACTGAAAAATTACGACAAAAAGAGAATTCACTAATATAGTAGGAAAAAAAATTTACATAAGTATAGTCATGTCATATATGTAAACATCAACCAGTTTGTTAAAAATTATAATAGAAGGCTCTATTTATAAAAGCAACAAAAATACACTTAACCAAATGAAAAGACATACTTACTGCATGTTATCAGTCAGGACCTAGTCAGGAAAATGGAAACCATATAATGTATTTCAAACAGAAAATTTACTACAGGGAATTGGTTATACAAGTATTGGAAGTACAGAAAAAGTACACTGAGGCAATTCATAAACAACTATAGAAAGATGCTACTACTCCCAGGGCCAAGGTTACAAAAGGTGGGGTTATCAGAACCTAGTATCTTAGAGAAAGGCCCTGTGAAGCTGTTACTCAGACCTCTGAGGACACCCCCTCTACCACCCTTGCTGCTGCTGACACTTTTGAGGCAATGTGAGGAGTCTGGTTCTGAGTATACCAAAAGAAGCCGGACTGCTGCATTCTGAAGCCCACCATTGCTGCTGGAGATAACTTCCATTTGCCAGAGGTAATGCTGATAGTACAAAACAAGACCTTTCTCCCCTCCATCCTCCAATAAGGCAGAACCTAACAAATCCAGTAGCAGGAATCTGGAGAATGAGTTTTTAAAGCCTGAGACCCAGCATCACACAGGAGAAGAGGGTAAATTTTGAGTTGAGAGACATTAGCTAAATAGTCAACCCAGTTCACCCTTTTGGCAATTTTGTACACACATTTGGACTTCCATAAAATGACAGTAACTACTTTCAAGTATTCATCTAACATGATGGAACTATTCTTTATACAAATGAAGGCATTCTTATCCTCTCTCCCAGAAGGGAGAAACTAAGTCCCAAAAGTAACTGTATCCATCTCTGGGTGATATTAAGACCTTTTCTACTCAAATCGCAATTCCTTAAGAATCTTTAAACTATAATGTTTGCTTTTGGACATGAAAGTATTAAGAGGCAAACTGTTCCCTGCTCCCCACGCCCCCGTCCCGCCAAGAATTCCTGAGTTCCAAATATAGTTCTCTCTGTACCCATTTTGTAGAAGCAACCAATTTCCTCTTGGTAACTGGGCTCAATCACCTCAGTTCAATCTTTGCCTGGTGGTTCAGTAGCCTAAGGAATCCCAAATGGCCAGGTGGTAGTCCCAAAATCTTAGGTCAATTGTTGTGTTCCTTGGTAGAAGAATGCAACTATGAGGATCTGTTTCTTTGGATTTCCCTTGCTACCAAGTACTCATCAGTTACTGTCCAGTCAGAGAAACAGAAACACACTAGGTAGTTCAAAAGGAGGTGGTTTACTGTAAGAGCCAATGTGGAACACATTGAGAGCTGTACACAGCTCTGAACATAATCCAGAGAACTGTAAAAGGCAGCTACCACTTACAGGTAAGAGGTGGGATGACTACAACCTAGGAGCTTATGGGAAATGCCCACAGAGTTGCTGCTCTGCCTATGCTCTGCCTATTACTTTTCTATGAGTGTCAAGGAAGGCTTCACAAAAAAGTGATATCTGAGATGCATTTCCTGAAGGATAAGTTTATCAGGCTCAGTCTATTCAACCCAGGTTTCTAATGCTTCTGCTATATTATAATAGGCCTGGTCATTTAGAAATAGTTGTGGGGCCTACCACTTTTTTAACACCACACTGAAAGCGTTAGTAAATATGTCAAAATGTCGGTGCTGTAATGTGGCCAAAATAAAACTAGAAAGATTGAAAGCCATCCTTTCCTACTTTAGATATGTTGGTTTAAAGACAAACTGTCTGATAAGTTTCTCTAACCAGAACCGCACACACTTATCAGGTAAAGTATATAAACTTAGGCATCACCGTGCTCTGGAAGGTGATCAGAACCCTCATTCATACAGGGATCTACTTTGCTACCTAGCATTGTTGCTGGAGCAGGGCAGTATCATACTCATTTACTGAAAGTCTCATTCCCTTTTTCTAGAACTGTCTCTATTTTCCACAAAGTACAATTTTCTAAAGTTGAGAAAAAAGTATTTGGGCAGTAAAAAGAAGTGGGTGGTAGTGAGGACAAAGCACAGTAAGGGCTCTTCAAGATCAGAAAAGGATGCAACAAGAATTTTCTAGTATGCGGAGCTTATTTTTGGTTATGTGGACAAACTGGAGTGCACAGATTGATGCAGCAATTATGAAGAGGGGATTGAGGATGGTTAGGTAAGACTGCAGGAGTCTGGCTAAAAGCAGCTGGAAAGGCAAAGAATATCCACAGATGTACTCTGAAGTACATCCACTTCATTAAAGAACAGAGGTACAGAAAAGAACATTTCAACTTTGGCCAGTGAAGGACGGAGAAAATCAGTAAGAAACTGAGCTAGAGATGCAGAGAGAAAGAGGCACTGAAACAAGAAAAAACTGATAATTATAATTTTAAAAATCCAACTCTGCCAAACATTTCTAACACAAGGTCCTCTGAAATGATGCTGCTGATGTACAGACCTAAAAACTGGAAGGGGAAAAGTCAGCGAGGCTCAAAATCACAGCCCTGGAGAGTATGGTTTAAGATTCTTGACCTTGTGATGCTTGTGTGCCAGACTTGAAATGGAGAAAAATTTAAAGACTAGCCTATGCTCTTCCTCTAACTTGACAGGAGATTCGAAGTGCAGAGCAAATGAAAAAATGGAAGGACAGGCTTGAGAAAAAGTATTATTCCACAGAAATTCAAGATGACTACCAGCCTGTCACTCAACAAGAATTTCGAGAGTAAGCATTTGTTCTAACCAGGGTACTATGGGATTATCATGATTTGGGGGGACTGGGGACAAAAGTAACACATTATTTTCCTGAACGTAGAATCTTATTCTGCTAAGATGCCACTTTTTTTTTTCATTTTTTTTATCCAACTTCAAAAGTTAATAAGCAGAGAGCACAGACTACATTTGTTTAAATGTAAGAAGTGAGACCAATTGTTTTTATACTTACATTTCTAAATAATAGGAACTGCCATTTATACTTGGTATGCATAGCAGACACTGTTCTCCACAAAGCTTTCAAATATTAGACCCATACCTGACCATACTAAGCGTTTTAGGAGCTTAAAATACTGTCTTCCCACTCAAAGCATTACACAACAGGCACTAATAACCTGCTGTCTCTTTACGCATAAAAATGTGTTACTCATTCTCTTCTTTCTATATTATCCTCTAGCCTCTTTTTATATGCTGTGGAGCTGGAGAGAGAATTACACTACATCAGTTTAAAACTAAACCGAGTGATGAGAAAGGTTTCAGCTCTACCCTGAGTCAAGTGGAGGTGAGACTGTGATGCAATCACTGAACATTTCTAACAAAGATTCACTCCTGTATTGAATTATGTCCTTAACTTGTCCTCATTTCAGGTACACTAAACTACCTATTATCAAACTATCGTCAGGGTCAATAATCATCATCAAATGATTTCCAGGACTGAAATGCCCCTGAATGGGACCCACTGTATATAATCCATGCATATTACAACATGCCTCCAGAGTATACACACACTGGTTCACACAGAGAATTTTATAACAAATTATTATTAAAATCTAGGAGTGTGAAGGAGTGTGAAGTACAAAATAATGCTGCTTCTAGTTCATGGGGCAGATCTCTAATAGTTTAATAGGTAAAGACAGTTTTCTTAGTGCTTCACAGAGTATAAGAAATGTTGGTGCTCTCATCATACACCATGTTCCAAATTCCTCCGACCATAAACAATAAATGCTCAGGATTCCGTAAAATCATCATGTAACACCCCAAGCAAAATAATCTCACCTCCATTCTTCCAATTTGAAGCTCCCATAAAAAGCGAAAATGTAAAAGAACTTCTCAACCACCTACAAAAATATCACTAATATCTTCAAAGTGGAAATTCACTTAGACAGTTTCTAAAATAACACATCTAAAGTATCTCTAAAGTGCTTCATCAACTACTTTAAAAGCAAAATACACTTAAAAAAATAAAGACAAAGATAGGAGCATCAGGATTATAAAAAGTCAAGTTATATTTGAAAAGTATAAATGGGAGTGCTACAAAAACCCTGTTTGGATAGTTGGAAAGTTATGTATGGCTGGCATTTTGGAAACTGGAAGTAAACTCTAATTTCTTTAGGTTACATAAGCCCTTCCAGAAGAACCATATGTTCTCTTAGCCCAAGCAACAGCATTTGATCATAGTACTCAACTCCCACATTGATGCTCTATAGACTCTGGATTTTAAAACTTGAATAAAGGTATTTTTAAATCTACCAACCTTGCTCAGACCAAGCTCTTCTCTTAGAGACTATATATCAAGTTTTCTTAATAGGATAATTCACTGCAACAAGAAATGCTGACTATTCCCTCTGCATCTTTTCCTTACATTTCCACAGGGGATGGCTTTCCCCTGTCTTACCATGCCCCAAGTCGGCCAGGAGGTTTACTAACCCTGTTGTCCCCTATATGGTCCTGGGTTGGGTTAATTCAAACAAAGCCTGAGAACATTAAGACAAAGGAATACTTGGTCTCTATTTTTCCTTTTTCAACATCTAGTGAGGAAAAAAAAAAAACATTTACAATGACAGAACATTTAAGTTCTTTTATTACAAAAGTCTATACAATGAAGTGCCAGACATTCCAACGCAATTATACTGGTGGTCATATATATCTATATAACATTTGTATATAGATATACAGTTTTTACTTATATCAAAGTAAAACTATTACAAACTGCCTAATTTTACCTACTGCTCAACTATGACACACAATATTGTCACACAGCATAAGTGCTGCCATGCCACTTTTATCTATTCTACTTGCAGCCAAACATTAACAGTGAATAACCAACATCGTGAAGCAGCTGTTAATTCTAAAATGAAACCAGTCAGGCCGCTGACTTATAAAAATATGGTACTCATATAGATTTAGCATTATAAAGAAGGAATATATTATTTAAAACATTTAAATAGTGCATATGGACATTTTTGCATGTGGTATATAAAATAAAATATTCATATAAAACAATATACAGTGCACATTAAATTAGATGTTTGGATATACTCCGGTCTGGAGACTGAAAGAAATTAAAATAACTAAATGTACACTGCATGATAGATTCAAATCAAAGTGATCTTTTGGCGTTTTAAATTTCACTTTTTTAGGTATACATTATGAATAACCTAGCTGTATCAAAAGGAAACCACACAAAAAGGACTGGATTTAGTGCTTTATTCCCCAACTACATATTCACTACTAATGAATATTCCCTCCCCACAAAAAAAAGGCATTGCACACACAGATGAAATGTGAAGTACTAGAAATGCTACTTATTATCAAGCTACTTCATGTGCTTACTATGTAATAGTGCCAGAAGTCTGAGGTCCATGCTTCCCTCATCTTATTAAAGGATGTTGCAAAAGTCCATTTTTGCATGAAACATATTGTTAATATTAGCTAGTTAAGAAAACCATGCATGAGTCACTGCATGCAAAACATGGGCACAATCAAAGACACTCATCAATCCAAAAAAGCACCAGGAAAAAAATTAACACTTAGATTAAGCCTGAACAGAATATGCTACTAATGACTATTATATTGTTAGCACAAATAAAGTCACCTTTCTGTGAAAATGATTAGCAGAATACCAGGAGAGTACCTGAAAAAAAGCTATGCAAAGCCAAAGACAAAAGATATCCTTAAGAGTATACGACAAGGGGCATACCACTATACATCTTGTAACCAGATGCTTTAAACAGCATGTGACTGAGCAAAAGGTGGTCTCTTTAGAGGGCGTTTTCTTTATGAATTTTGCTGATTAAGAGGAAAATAAAAAGATGCAAGCCCCTGAAGGTACATGTAAAAATGCAGTGGTATAGCCCTTGTTAAGAACAGATTTACTTCAGGCATAATGATTCTTTTGCCAATTTAGGCCCATCTGATTTAACACACAAATCTAAGCACCATCAGAATTCCTACATACTGACATGGCTATTTTCTCACATTATCTGGAAGTGGGTAAGGGAAAAAAAAATAGGATCTGATGCAGACAAATCACATCATCATCAGCTGATAAACAGTAACTGAGGAAACAAACAGTAACTTAAGTCCCATAGGCAGCATGTGATATGATTCAGTTCTGTGCATGATGTGTGATGTGTGTTTTCACTATACTAATAAGCAAGGTCACTTTTTGGTCTACCCTCTGTTCTTTTCATCCAGGAGCTGTTGGACCAATGAATTGCAAATTTTTGCTAACATACTACCTGTGAAAAAGTGTCACTTTGGGAATTAAACAGAAATGTATTCCACAGTAGGACTTGAAATTTCAGTTGATTTTGGTTTTCTAGGAAAACATAGAACATAGTTGCATACGTGCATTTATAGGCCTTTCTTTCAAAATTTCAGTCATTCTGTAAGAAAAAGGCAACTGAAGAATTCAATGTGAAGATTCTCCTCTCAATTATCTTCAGTAATGAAAAAAAAAATAATAAAGTTGGTAATAACAAAAAGCTTGTATTTCCGAAGTTCTTGAAGTTGAAAGGATAAAATACTAGTCTTTTGCTAACAGGATGTATTTGTAGTGCAAAACAATGAAGAAAACTAGATGTTTGCTAAAGGTGAAGAGGACAGTCTGTGGTTAAGATGGAACACTGTGCTCCCTAGAGAGGGTCTACTTACCACCCCCATCATTTCTCTAGTGGCACCACAACCAAGTACAAAATGAGACTCTCTGAGTGTCTGACAAAATGAACTCAAGTACCAGCCAAGTACACACGATGACAGCTTCAGGGAATACAACCGATTTTATGATGTTTTCAAGAAACATATTTTATATGGATTTTGAAGAATCTTGTTTGCTGATAAGAACTTCAAGAAGCCTAAGCTTGGCTTTAATTTTCTTGTACTCCCTGTACTCCTCAAGCACTGGAACACGATCCTCTTTCTGGGCATTCCTAGGGGAGAAAATAAAATCTGTAACATTCTAGAGATCACCTAGAATATTTTATAATAAAGTCCTGAGAGTTGTTGTAATGTAAGATATAATGTTACCAAAATTTAAGTTCAAATAAAAAATTGCTCTGCAAGAAAAATTGTTATTGAACTAATTCTCCCTATCCCCAAGGAACATTCCAAAAATATTTTTATTTTTGATGGATTTATTGACAAATTAAATGCTATACTTATCAATGATAACTAGACATAATATTTTAATAAAATATACAATGCTAAGTTCTGTCAGGTCTGTGCATATATATTAATTGCTAGAGGACCATGAGTCATTTCATACATTAATTGTGGCTTCAGTGAAGCGAGATGTAAAAGTAAAACATCTTACCTGCAGCAAAAAAGTAGTTTCCTCGCTTTATATTAATGACCCTCTGTAATTCAGTTTAATACTAGGTAAAGCATCAAACCATCCTAAGTATAAGCAAAGTTTTCTTCCAATAAAACAAAGAATTAGAAGGTACTTGGAAGATGCATTCTTTGATATTTTTTTAAAACTAATTTTGCCAACCTATATAGGAGACTCTCAAATTAAAGTAAACATATTTTGGAATTTGTAATACAGCCATTGGCTTGGTAAGACCACCCAGTTACATGGAAAAACTTTTCTGAGACCTGAGATAGCCCTCATTTCTGGTCATCATTTGAATTAGAATGTATTTTTTTTACTTTTAAAAGAGCCTCACTGAGTCAACTATGCATTACCCAGTGAGATAAAGGCAACTTGCCATATCGTATTACAAGAGCCACATGACTGCCACCCTGTTACACCATTTGGAAATGGGCAGCCTGGAGTGACTAACATGTAGCCTAAGCAGCAATGGTCTCAGTATAAGAATCCTAACTAACTGAAGATAGCCCTCGTGTTATGAGACACTTTCTAAAAAGGAGAAACATCTCATTTCACAAACATTTCCAAAAGGTGAGGATGTAGAATTAAAGAACATAAAATAGTTGCCACTCAACCAAGCCTCCCTAGGACAACCTTAAAATATTTTATCACATGTTGTTTTCTCTAGCTCTGACTTTTTTTTGATATTAATAGCAGGGCTTGGAAATATAAAAGAATGTTTTTTAGTTTTATTTTCAATGCTAATATCCTTATATGCACACTTTATTTCTATTTCTGTATATTTCTTTAACATATGAGCACTTGTGAGTTTAAGGAAAAATAGTACTCAATGTTGTGATGCTCTACAAACCTTCCATTTTGTTGATAAAATGCTTCTTCAAATTCTCGTAATGTTTTACGTAGTTTCTTTTTTTCAGCTCTGGCTTTCCAAAGTTGTTCCAGTAATTCAGGCCTAAAATTGAAATGGGAAGAAAATATTATTGAAAGGGTACTACTGATTCATTATGTTCTTAAAGAGTGGTTCAAACTAACTGCTGCAAACTAAAGTCAGCTGGGATGCTTTTAAAATATATCAATGCCCAAGCTCCACTTGGGACTAACTAAATCAGAATAACTGCAGGTAGGACTTTATAGCGGTACTTAAAAAAAAAAAGTCTTCCTAGATGATCCTAAAGTGAAGCCAGGGCTGAGAACCACAGTCAGATACAATATTAGGTGAAGAAGCTGATATGATAGAGAATATACCGACAGATGAGTCTCAGCTGGCTCCTGTACTTTGTTATACAGCAAATGTAGGATTTTTGTTTTAAAAATTTCAAAATACACTAATGTTGAATAAAAGAAAATGTGAGTAACAACATGTATCTGTAAATCATTTTTTTCCCCCTTCTTTAATTCCTTCCCCTCCCCCCACACTTCCACCCCTGACCTATGGATGTTGCCATTTCCCCTTAAGAACTGGATCTTTGAAGGCGGGGTGTCTCCTCCCACAAGCTTGGGGTGTGTACCTTGGGCCTGGCACCCCAGCTCACTCGGCGGGCCTGGCATATCCGGAGTATGGTCCGCAGCTCCGCCTGGGGAGCGAACCCAGGACCTTCTGTGTGTAAAGCAGACGTGCTAACCACTAACTATGGTGCCACTCCTGTAAATCATATTTTTTAAAAAGAGTATATCTTGGGCATTGCATTAATTCCAAGTGCTTGATTATTTAATAATGAATTTCTTGGCATATAAATTTTATTATACAAATAGGCTAAAATAAAAAACCAGTATACATACATAGAGGCTGCTCGAGTACTTGACAATCGAAGATCCAGAGCCAGTTTTTCTTGATTTTCTTCAACATCAGATTCTGAGTTTTCCAATGAAGACTGTGCCTGTACAGCGGTTTTCAAGATATCAGTTAACTCAGAGGACAGACTAATACCTTCTTCTTCTTCTTCTTCCTAAAAAGATACCCAAACAGAGAATCAAACAGGCCATGACTTTCAACTATTCCTCTAAAAAGAGATCAGAGAATGGTTTCTCTTAAGGACTACCTTGATTTCTTCAAAAAAATGTGCAGTTTCTCCTTCTATGATTGGTTGTAACATCTG